TCTGACTGACTGATCTGTGGCACATTCTGAACAGCTGAAGAGCTAATGGTCCAGCTGGAGACAGATGGCCTCTCGATAACACTATACCCCCAAGCCAATACTCATACTCTATCACTCTCATGCACACACACATCACATGAATCTACACACACACACAAACGCTGTTTCTGTCACACACAGCACACACTAGCTGGGTTGGGTAGATTGTTAATCCATTATAAACCCAGAGGAAAGACATTTTTCAATATGAGTTTAATGTTTCAAAGCAATTTTAAACAATCTTTAGYCAACATTAGGTGGCAGCTTAAGTTTCGTGCGAGTGCAAGGGGACAAAGAAAGCTACTAATCTTACTTCGTTTTATAGAATTTCCCTGTTTTTGTGGTTTTGCCTGTTTAAAACAACTAGAAAAGTACAAAATAGTGCTCAACATAAGATGATACACCATGGGATGACGCAAAACAGTATATTTTATTGTTCCCTTGGGAAAACCTGTTTACAAATGTGCAAACACATTTTGTGGTCCTCCTTTTCAGCTCTCATTGCAATGTGGGTCATACCATGTAGCTAAAATGTAAGGCTATAAATGTAGAAAACGGTGTCTGCACTGCCTCTCTCCGGGGAGAACATGTGTCAGTTACATGCTCCTGCTCTGAGGTCACTCTGGCACACAGACTGAAAGGAGCTGAAGGCAAAATGCCTCGCTGTGATGCTTCTGCCACCTCCGAGAAGTTGCAGCTATAACAGTTATTCTGACTCGGAGAAGGAGGGGAGACGGATGCATATTTCTCCCGAGGTTTCCTTCATTAAGGATGACAGCAGCGCGATCGTAAGCTTGCAGTAGGCGTTTCTTGTTGCACCAGTGTGTCTGCAGGCCGCGGACCCGGAGAGACCGGCTCTCAGAAATTTCATTACCTCATTAAATCATTCTCAAATCCTATCCGTATTCAAAGATTTACTCATCGCCAATACAGCCATGCCGAATGCTTTTTGCTAAGCGGCCTTCGCCTCGAGCATTTATCACTACCTCAATAGTGATTAGGCGCATCCTTTCTAAAATGGGGGTTGTTGCTAGTTAACCTCCTTGAGCACATTAATTGCTGTGCTATGTTTTTCAATTTCGAGACTTCTTGCTGGCACCGTTTTAAAGGATATGTGCGAGACGGCAGCTTGGGACTGAGGAGAGGGAGGCAGGTGGAGTTGATATTGGTTATATCGTTTCCAGCATATGGGCCTGTCGTGTCCCATGTGTACATACCTGCCTCTGCTGCTGTCATCTAATTATGCAGAGCAAACAAAGCGATCTCCCTTCTGCTACAAGGCTGCTTCTCTGAGTTTTGATTGTCAGATCCAATGGACGACTTCAACTCATTCACACATTCACTCATATTACTTTGATGTGAAATTCGCTCCAAAACGTGCCTCTAACTGTCATTTTTTCTGCCAGTCTTTGTAATTTTGTGATATGCTGCGCCCTCTAAAACTAAGAAGAAAGTGAYTAAGTAGTGCTCACATGAAGAATTWTCACATTTTTTWYSRTMGYWTWTTTTTTAAACAACAGAAACCTYCTTTGGTCTTTGCTAACTAGCTTCAAGCTCATCAATTTAGTCAGAAATCAACTTTATTTTTTCCAACAAGAGCTATCGCCAACAATTAGGAGATTAATTGTTCATAACCTTTTCACAGAACCCCACTGTGGTAACAGTTTATTTTGTGTTTTGTGAGTTTGTCTTTCATGTTCTAACACTGGTTTTCATGTGATTTGCCCACAGATGTTATTTCATAACACTTAAAAGTTGTGATGATTGTTAAGTTTTTTTATATTCTGGATTTATCTACTTTAGTTTCCTTCCATCCATCCATCAATCRATCCATTATCTTTACCTGCTTCAGGATCATGAGGGTCACTGAAGCCCACATCCAGCAGTCACTGTGTGAGAAGCGGACTACATCCCGGGCAGGTCACATGACTATCACAGGGCCAGTCAYACAACCATTCACTGTCTCATTCACACCTAGGTACAATTTAGTTACAAATTAACRTAGTTTCCCAGATTTCCCATTTCAGTGAACCTTGTTTTCTGCCCATTTGCATATGTCTGCATTCTGTAATCAKCCTGCGTGCTCAGCATTCTGTAATCAATGGTCATTTGTTTTCCTTGTTAGAGCCTCTACTTACCATAGCCCTGTCCTGTTGTCTGATTATGTTTAGTTTATGAATCCCAGTTTTGTTATTAGGACATTTTTAGAAACCTTATCTCACTTTGTAATTGGTTTCCATGTGGGTTATTTCGACTACCGCTTAATGACAAACACCACTTCAGAAAAATCTGATTTATCTCTTTAAATGTGTTAAGAAAAAATAGCATTACTTGAAAATAGTCAGGTCTAAATAGTCAGGTCTAAGCATGAAATTATATTAAAAAAAACATAAAAAACTAAAATTGTTTTTTGAAAACCCCTCAGAAAATTTGGTAAGTCATTTTTCAGAACCACTTGACTCCTAAAGCAAAACCAAATTGCAGTGGCTTGAGACTTTTACACAGTGAAATTTTGTAACGTTTTCAATGATTCAGTTAAAATTGTATCCAAATAATTTTCCAGTCAATATCCGTTGACATAAATGCTAATAAGTCACCAAAACCTAGATTCGCTCATTCACAGAGACACGAAGCATCTCCTGTGATCACATAATATCACTACTTATTTTACCCTCTTAAATAAACCACACACATCTCTAGCAGTTCATTTCTGCCTTCTTATTTACATGAAACAAGTGACTTGGTTTGTTATCTTGCCTATAGTCTTTAAGGTTTAAAAATCAAACACTAAAACATGCAATGCTGTCTAATTTGACATTGTTAAAACGTGTCTTTGAATCTAGTACAAAAAGCAAATTAGTGGTGTTTAAGAATGACATCACAAAATGACATTTAGAACTCCAGGGGATTAATTGACACTAATTGTATTTGAACAGCCAAGAAGAATTCGACTACAGCACAAAAACTAGTGTTCATATAGTTCGGAGAGCTGAAATCCTTTCTTTTTTTTTCTTGCAGGGGTATGTGAGCAGAGTGGTGATCTGAGTCTGTGCAGGCTTGTCAATGCTGCTGCCTCCTCACCTCCTCCTGCTGCAGAGACTTCACAACAGGCCTGCCCAACACACCAGAAGACCACTCCTACGCCGCCGTCCCTCCCCCTGGCCCTCGGCACTGACCCCTCTCTGAGTCTAACTGTGGTCCCCTGCCCTCCATCCAACGATGTTTCATCTATAGTCCCCAACCTTCAACGTGCACCCACAACACTCCCCAACTCGGCTGTATGCTCCTGGGGCCCAACAGGAGACACACAGAAAACATCCCCCACACTGGCTATCACCCTCCCTCTGTCAGCTGCAATGATGGAACCTGGCACGGTGTCCACACTGACGGAGGAGTGTCTCCTTCAGCCTGCCCGAACCTGCCTCGGTTGCTTTATTGAAACCCGTGATGCTTCTGACCCTAATTCCATCCAGAACCCACCCCATGACCCCAACAACAACTCTGACACAGACCCCGGGCTGAGCGTTCGGATAGGGGATGTGAGTCGAGAGGATTTTTCTGACATCAACAACATCAGCATTCAGTGCCTGAGCCACGCAGGGGAGGCAGTAAGTCACTACGGGGAGCAGCTTCTCTCTGACCAGCTGCTTAGCTTTCCCCTGCCGAAAGCCCCGAGTGAGGGCAAAAGAGCAGACGGAACCAAAACAACGGAGGACTGTGATGACCCAGAAGATGAAGCGACAGCTAAGAACTTGTATGAGGGGCTGTTACTGGACAAAGTCAGCGGAGAGGAGGTCCTGCTGGCAAATGCTAGCCAGGACTGGGGCTACTTTGAGTCTTTCATCAGCGAGAGTAAGATGGAACTGTTGGACCTTTGCTCTAAGAATGAACTTTCGGTCAACCTGTTCTCTGAAGAGGACGTTGACAACCTCTTCGACGACGAGGACGACGACTCGACACTAAGCAGCGACGTCTGCTCGCTTAAGATTCGCTACGAGTCGTTCCAGGACAACATGCGGGAAAAAACAAACGTGCTCCAGGAGGAGACACAGTTCAACTTCTTCCCCAGCCTCCTGGCCAACTGTGCCAAAAAAGAGGAAGGAGCGCCAGTCTTGAGGAAGGGTGCTGAGGAGATGCAGCCCAAAACGGAGGAGCTCATTGGGGAGACAGCGCAGGAAGAGAAAGGTGGGGAGTGCAGTGGCAGGAGCCCGCTTGGTGGCTCTCAAGGCTCCCCTATGTCCACCTCCAAGGTCAGCTACCTAATAGACTTTAACTCCACTGAGGAGTCAGGAGAGTTCAGCGACGACAGCTCCTGCACTGGCTCCTCCTTGGACACCCTGCAGGACAGCAAGTTTAAAAAGGGTCACTCAAAGAGATTTCTCAGCCCCTCGAACCCTCTCAACTACGGCCTGCGCTCCAAGAGAAAGGTTCGATACAGCGACGACTACTTGTACGATGTTGATTCTCTTGAAAGCGAAAAGAATGCTGAGAAAAAAGAGAAAGCTCCCGCTGGTCAGAAAGAGGAGGAAGATGTGGACTGGTGCCCCAAAAAACGCCGAAAATCCTGTCGGAAAGAGCCGCCCGTRGTCATTAAGTACATCATCATCAACAGGTTTAAAGGAGAGAGACTCATGTCGGTGAAACTGGGCAAGCTGAACCCTGCGGATGCGACTGTAAGCTTAAATGCCGAAACAGTGAGCAAATATGAGACACTGGCTCCTCTGAAGGATTTCTGGCAGGAGAAGCAAAGAGAGAGACAGGAGCAGCTTAAGCTGGTTGCCAGAGATAAACAACAACGCGGTTTTCATCTAAACGGACGCCATCATCGGCTCTTTAATTCTAGTCATCCCAAAAGGAAATACAAGATTGCAAACAGGCTTAAAGTTCAGAGAATTCAAACTGTGGAGCAATCAGTAACAACACAGGGTTCCTTTCTCTCTGATCAGGGCCACACAGGTATCACTAAAGAGGACCCCACCCCCACTGTAGAGGAAATAATAGCAGCCCCAGGCCTCCCAGTCACATTAGACACAAGCTCCATCACGCACACAATCGCAACCAAGAGTCGCTCCCAGGAGCGGGCGGAGAGGGAGGGGAGAAGATTGGGAGGAAATAAAACAGTCAGGATAAGGAAATTCAAAAGTGAAGCCAGGCTGAGGAGCAAGAAAATGAAAGAGGCAGAAGGGGAAGAGGGGAGGAGTGTGACAAATGAAACTGATGCCTGTGTCAGTGCAGCACAGATTGAGGACTCCACTGCTGGGTTAGAACAGGCAGGCATTAGTTCAACTACAGTCAAACCCCATTTCTCCGACAGTAACGCCACAGCTAACGCATCAGAGGAGAAATTTCCTTTCGCTTCATCCACCTGCTCTCCTGACAAAGCGGCCTCCTCCGATGAGGTGGAGACGAGCGTGCCCGTCATCCCGGGGGGCTACCTGCAGACCCTGTTAGATGCCACCGACTCCTCTGGTGGAACAGCTATCTCCTACTTCCCCCAGCAGTCCTCTCGGCAGCAGTATTCTCTGGGGCTGTCCCTGGAGGAGAAGCAGTTTTCCTCTCTGCAGCTTGCTCAGAGCTGCGTCCTCTCACCTCCGTCTGAGTCGGAGCTCCAGCAGTCTCCCCAGAACTGCCCCAGCTTCCCGCAGATGTGGCACCCACAACTGTGTGCGAATCACAACCAGAGCTTTGGGCCTGAGACCCCTGAGACTCCTATCTTACCCAACAACTTTCCTGCTGCTGTGCCCCTGAATGACAACCTGCCAGTGTCTAACTACAGCCAGCTGAGCCCTGAGGCTGACAGGCTGCTMTATGAGAAGAGCTACCTGACTGAGGCGGGGCTGCAGCCTGGGGCAGATCTGCAAGTGTGTCAGTCTGCTTGTGTGGAGGGCCAGGTGCAATACCAAAGAGGGTCCCTGTGCACAGACAATGGGAGGCTCATCAGCTATGACTCAGTGGGCTCTCTGTCAGCCTCCTCCAGCAATTACAGCTCCCTCAGCCTCAAGTCTTGTGAGCGGGAGGGTGAGGAGGAGGGCCGAGACAGCTTCTTAGCTCATTGCAGTCCTAAAGTGGTGATTCAGCAAAGTGTGGATGCCCTTACCCCACTCAGGGAGTCCTCAGACCTGCTGGATATCTCCAACTTCACTCCTGACAAGTTCAGACACTCGTCACTGTCAGAGCTTTCCCCTCCTGAGACCCCCAATTTGTCCCCCCAGGTGGTGGGGCGTGAAATGAAGATGGCAGGCAACGTTGGAGAGTACCAGGATGTGAACGACATGACTATAGACTGCAACAGGGAGGTAAAGTGGAACTGTGATGCCATACAGCAACAGGAGCGCACCACAAATGCATACACAGTGGAGGACAGCCAGTTTCCCATGCACAACTTCAGCAGTCAGGAAGTCATAGGTTTAGATAAAAAGGAGCTGGGCGTTACTGAGTTTGATGAACAGACGGGTGCAAAAAACATAAAGTCAAAGAGGAAAGGCAACTGCAAACAGACAACTGCAGGACAGAGCCCAAAGAAAGTCCGAGCTCCCAGAGCTCCCAAGTCTGAAAAYGTCAAGACGCCCAAACAGAACTCTCGGTCGACCAAAAAAATAAAGGCCATGTTAGAGGGCAAGGCWGCAAAGAACCAAGCAGGTGGCACAGGCCTGACTGACAGTAGCAGCTCTGGGGACTGGCCTGGCACCGGCTGGTCAGAGCGCAACAGCCTGGTAGGAGATGACCAGCGGGAATTTGAGGAACCCTCCAACATTTTATCCAACATCGTCTCAGGCATGGCCGAGGTCCAGAGGTTCATGATGGCCTCCATCGAGCCACTGTGGAATCCCATGTCTGAGGCTTGCATGCCCTCCGAGGCCAACAGCCTCAACTTAAAGACCCTCAAAATCTTGGCTGGAACGGAGGCGGACCTGAAGAAGAAAGGAGCGGTGCTAACGGGGGCTGGCAGAGGCAGGAAGGCGGGGGGCAAAGGAGGCAAAAACCAGGCCAAATTCAACCCGTCTCACCCCTTGTTCCCTCAGTTAGCACTGGGCTGCAACATGTTCGATAAACCCAGCTTTATWAACCCCGGGCCTGCGCACAAAAAGCTGTACCGCCACAAGACGAGTGCAAAGTTCCCTCGGATTGAGACACTSAAGGGGAAACGAGCTGAGAGAGACCCAAATAAGGACATAGCACTGATGACCTCTTTTGAGAAACTGAGGTAATATTTTGTTATCAGCTGCTGTTGCTCCCCTCCTTCTCACTCCCCTCCCTCCACTACCTGCTCAGCCCCCTCCCTCCCAAACATACCTACACTGACGCTATGCCAGAGCTGCATGAATACTACGTTTCCCCCCGACTACTCCCACTTCCTTTTAACCCCCCCCTCCCTTCCCGAAGAAGAAATGATTATCTGCATGAAAAACTTCTTGTACTTTGCAAACTACCTATTGAGTGATTGTGTCCAGCTTGATTGAGATTTTGAAAACGACCATGGCTGCATTTTTTTCTTGCTTTTGTTGTTTCTCGCTTTGTTTGTTCTTCTTATAGTTGTTTTACTTTTGTCTGAAAAAAACAAACAAAACAAGAATAAGCCTTGAAAACAGCTCTGTCGCCTTTTTTTGAGGAAATTTATTGCTTTTTTTGTATCTTCTCAGATGAACTAGCTCCCCTGAATTATGAGATTTTTTTTCTTTTGCTTTTTCCTTAAAGATGTAGCTATATACACAAATGCATTGAGTGACATCTACGCATCCCATCCCCCCTCCTCATCTGTTTTTGTATGCAGAATATGGATGTCCTGTTGTTGCTGTTCTTCATACACTGCCTGGCTCATTTTCAAGAGGGAAGCCTTCACTTAATGAGCCCTATTTAAGCCCAAGACGTCTTTAAAACACAAAAAGATGGGACCATTTTGTATTGTTGACATATCAGACCTTGTCTCTTTTTTTTTTCCTTTTTTAACCCTCAAAGTTGGAATGAATCCTCATTTCCTTTTACTGAGCGTTTCTTTTACTTGTGGAGTTTAAGAGGAACTGGTTATCTAAATTTACATTTTTACGCCTTGCAAATTCATAAAAGCTCCACCCTCAGAGTATTTTTGTCAATGTTGTTGTACAGGGACATGCAATATTTGCAAAAAATAAAGAAAAAAAAGAAAAAAAATATGGTTATAATTTAAAAATCAATGTGCCAAAAGTAACAAGGCTGTGTAAATGACCTCTTATATATGTGTGAATATTGGCTGTTCCTCTTTTTCTATCCATTGGAATATTGGCTGCTCGGGTTGGAGGCTCCTCGCAGAGACTTGCAACTACAGGAATTCTTCATTTGAGACTTTTTCCTCTCTCTTCTCTCTCTCTCTCTCTCCTCCGATGAAAGGCACCAACAGCTGGCAGTGGTACGCCACCACTCATGAAACCAAATCGTAAAAAAAAGACTCTGAATTTGCCTTGTTTTTGTTTTTTGTTTTTTTCCTTTCCTTTTTTTTCTTTTTAKCCCCTACTTTGTTTGCCAAATTCGATTTACCTCAACATCACCTGGCACTGAGAAGCAACAAAAGAGAGGCAAAGGGGAGAGCTGCTCTGAAGGCCACTGCAAAGGACGGAGATWAAAAAAAAAAGATGTTCAAATGAGCCCTCTCTGGACCAGTTAGTGCAGATGTAAGCAAAGAAACGACTTGCTGTTTTTTTGGGGGGGCTGCACCACACTGAATAGCTGTTTGTACTGGAAATTTACGGCAGATTACGGCTCATAGAGATTCTGATGCATGCATCAGTGGTGAATAGACATGTTTTTGCAGTTATTGTGAATGTGAAAGCAGTTTTCAGTACAAATGGAYTCAGTAGTCTTGTAAATGAAAGGAAAGCATGTCTTTGCATTTGCTCCATATGAAAATTTTTATCTTACAAAAAAATGCTCATTTAAACGGAAACTTTAACTCACATTCTCATAATTTTTATTTKTTTACACTGCCTTACTTTATGAGTTGCACATCCTCGTCTTTTATCATCTGATTATGTCAAAAACCTTATTTTTGTTGTTGTTTACAGTGTTCTTATGTTTTATTTTATTTCTAAAGGTATATCTGTCACTTCAGGGTCTGTATTCTGACRGAATATATTGCGACCTGCAATTCAAAACCATAATTTAACAACAACAAAACATTTTGTTTTTAACTTCCTCATTTCTATCTGTTAATTTGGGCTCATTCTCTACCTCAGAGCACTGAAAAGAAGAAAAAAAAAACATCTAGAAATGAACCTTAAAATAGACTATACAATCATATTTAATCAGTTATAAAATCTTTAGATAGTTTAAAGGAGCCAATCACACAGATACGGAACAATAAGCAGATATTTTCACTCTTGTRCCAGCAGAATAAATGACACGAGGCTGCGTGGACAAATTGATTGATCTGAAAGCAAGCCTTGTCACAATGGATATGACGATTCTGACGTGCAGGTTGTACTAATTGATTGCTTGCATATTGGCAAGAATCCTAATCAATCTCTCTGTGTCTTATTCGTGTCTCGTCTCTGCCATGATGCTTTTCGTTTTACCTTCTCTTAAGTGTTATCAGGGTTAGGACCAAGACAAGCTGCTGATGGGAAGCTCCACATTGGGCCTCGGGCCCATTTAGTCTGCCTTCTCTCATTTCTGCCTATTGTCAAATTGAATGTACTTCTCTTGAGTTCCTTTGCTTTTAATTTGAATGACTTTGTTTCTAAAATGTGCCACTGTTGAGCTGCCTCATGTTAATGGTGCTAAGGAAGCTGACAAATCTTTTTTCTTAATGGTTTGATTTTTTTTTTCATTTCTCTGTTTTTGTTCTTTATTTTACCCAGAGTTAACAAAAAAGGATTAAAAAAAGAAATGCAAAATAGATTAGGTACCTAACCCTTTTTATGAATGTATATTAAAATGTTATGTTTGATGTATTCACTTCATGATTCTTTGACACTGATTGGAATTACTTTTGCTCTTTTCATTAAAAGATTACCGAGCTTTATATATACTGTCTAGAGTTGTTACCAGAAAGAATCTTAATGAACTCTTGACACGACAAAAATCTTGTATATTTTTTGTGTGCCAATTTGTAACATATTTTGTAAGTGTATATTTTTCTTAGAAAGTGCTGTGAAGTATTTGTGTGTGTGTGTGTGAGTAACCTTTTATGCCCCTCCGTGGGCTGTGGAAAAGGATATGCGACGGCGACGACGACAACGACGAGTTCCTGGTTTTAAAAACCAAAATATGAAAGTATTGACAGAAAAACTAGAACTATTTACATTTCGTTGGGAGTTTTGTAATAAGATCATGATCTTGTTGTGAGAGTGTTGTGTTACTGTGCAAAACACAAATAAGCAAAGAAAAAAAGCGAAAAGTCAAGGAAAAAAATATAATTTGTGAACAATTTGCTGTTTTATAGATTTTCATGTAAATTATTTGAGTATTATTTTGATTTTTATTTTAGTTTGTTTTTTATTTTGTTTTTGTTTTGTTGTAATTGTTGCAAAGGTTTTAAATATTTGTGATCAAGCCTGTATGGTGATAATGTAATATTGGTAACTTGCTGAGTTTTGTAATAATGTTTATGGAGTAAATATACAAATTAAAATAAGATTTTGAATGCTGCTTTCTGAAGAGAGTTGATTTGTGTTTATTACCTACCTACATCACAAACACATGACWTTACTCAATTTGGTTCAAAGACCTTTTTTGTAAAAGTACAGATGACTAAAGGTGTTGGAGGTAAAAGTTTTAACTGAAGACCTTGTGTGATCTGGTAACTCTCAGAGTATTTGTTGAGGATGACTCTCGGCTACTACTACACCAAATTTTAGCTCAATTTTAGTAAAACCGACTGAGTTATAACCATTTTTGTGTTTGCTAACTTTGATGAACTTTGGCGGCCATCTTGAATTGGGTCAACTCTAAACATTACTCAGCTGTAGATGTGCATGTGGGAACTAATTTTGAGAAATTTCATCAAAATTCATCCAGTGGTTCAAAAGATATTTTGCTAACAGACAAAGAAATAAAAACAGCCACGGGCGATTGCATGATCAGCCACATTTCATGGTGGTGGATGACAGAGTTTGTAAAATAAGGTTAAAAACAACTGGTTAGGAACATTTCTGATAAAGTAAGGGATCCATCGAGCAACTGTTCCCACATATTTGTGGGAGCATCGTAATAATAGCAACACACATAAATCTAATCTGCTTGGCTGAGCGTTTGCTCGCGCTGTGAAATGTGTAAAAGTAAAACCAACCTTTATATTTCCAATTAGCCTGGCCCTGTTTGCTCCACTGGAAGATTCTCAGAGGAAAGTCACTTTAATTCCTTTACAAGTCTTGTTGGAGCTCGTGTTATTTCATGTCACATCTAATTAGCACCCAGGGTCAGGCGTTTTCTAGAATGACTGCTCATCCATAACTTTGAGCCGGGCCGCCATGGTCCACGCTGCAACTCATTTTGGCACGCTTAATTGGAGCTGGAGATGCAGTCTTGCACCATAAACAGATCCTGTGATGTACGCCTCTGAAAATTGTCAGCCAGCATTAGCATTGTTTTTGTTCTTTAGTCACCCGTGGCAGATAAYGGAGTCGGGCGAGTTCGAAGATGGGATGTCTAATGCAGGAGATCAGGTGTACCTGCAGTTATTAAATGAAAGGCTGCTACGTGCTTGGACAGATATAGGCCTCTCTGTCACTAAGACATTAAGACAACTGCTTGTGCTTTGTTGTTTTAATCAGGACTTAGAAGACAACAGTGTGACTTGGTTGTTTTTAAGAATTAGCATGTCTAAGTAAATGATGACCAAAATCAAGACATGACAAACAAAGTTTCATGTAATTGGCCTGACAGGTTTGGCTTAATCTCAGTTTTACTTTTTGTTGTTTATCTTTAATGTATCTTTTACAGCTATTTTTGACCCATCACATTAAACCGAGGATTAAGACAGATTTGGTCGGATTCCTGCTTTTTAAACTACATTTGGATACCTGGATCAGATATCATGATTGGCACCAGAGACGTAACTTAATTGTTAATGATGATAATACATTAATATTTGGTCTTAATCCTATTTTTAAGTTGCTCTAATAAAGACTTTTTGATGTAACTTTAAAGCGAATCTTAAGCTTTTCCATCTGAAATTAAAAAAAGAAAAGCTTTGATAGCTCACAGGGAAATATAAAAAAATTAGTCTGATTTTTTTTGTAGCTACTGCTCAAAAAAGTGCTTCAAAAATATTCTTTAAGATTATATTTCAGACAGGTCTTTCAAATGATTCATTAATGGTTCATTCGGTTCAATGTGATGGATCACATTTTATCGTGTTTGGTTGTTAGTCATACTTTTAGTTTGCTTGATTTATTCTTTAATTGTCTTTTTTGTCTGCATTCTCCTTCCACAGTTTTACCCTTTTGGCTTCTAATTTTATTTGTTTCATTTATTCATTGCTTTGCTGACGTATTTTCTTATTGAAAATAATTAAAAAATGCTCTTAAACTAAATAAAGGCCCTATAAATGAGACTTTATAGAATAGTTTGATGTGTTCAGTTTATACACATTAATCACTTTATCTTTCAAACAGATAGTATTTTAAAAGAATGAAGATTTTCTAAAATGAATGCCTATATTCATTATACAAGCAGTTTATGCATCAGCTAGTGGTTCGTGCTTTATTTGATGGAAAATGCATCATGAGGTTTGAAATAGCAGTCCAGATAATTTGGAGTGAGGTTTAGTAGAAAGGTTATGAACAGTTAATATTCGTAGACTGATGCCAGCAYCAATAGTAGTTTTAATAAATAAATGTGGGAAAAAGAAGGTACAGTAGCTAATGAATATATAAAAATAACTGAGTTGCACAATAAACATTATGTTCTTGTGGCACAATRTATTCAAAGAATGTATCAATGAGTGAGAAAATGCTATAAAAATTAGTACATTTTTGTATAGACAGCACATAAAAACGCAGCTTTAGTATAAACTCATAGACTTAAACATCACTAGACTGAGCCCCGCCCATACCGTACACTGGTAGCATCTGTGACAGACTGGAGGAGCAGAAATTGCYTCCAAAAAGGGCAACAGCTCACAGCCTCCATGGAAACTAATAGATAAACAGCAGCTGAACTGGATCGGTTTCAAAGATCACCGGTCATGTTTTTACAATAAATTAATAACTATGTTAATTTCATTCAACAACCATGTAAAACAGCAG